TTTATCTAGACCATGATAGGCTTTCTGCAATTGTTGTTAGTACATCAGCAGTTGACTTGGAGAAACGAAAGCTGTATTGCTTGTCTGAGAAAAGGCCCTGTGATGAGAGATGATGAATCAATTCAGCATTTGTTAGTGCCTCTAGGAGTTTCCCAAAATGAGGCAAAAGGCTAATACACCGATAGCTGGATGAGTCGGATACCAGAGTTCTTAAAAACTGGAACAGATGATAACCTTCAGTGAGCAGGAAAGCAGGAGGCATTAAGGCATTTATTATACAGTTTAGAGAGAACAGGAGCCAGTTCAGGGGCACACTTCTTCTTCTTTATGACTATTACAAAGATACCATCAGGTCCACATGCTTTGTGGGGATCAGGGTTAAAGATAATAGCAGAAACGATGAAAAGGGGTTATATGCACATCGCTCAACAGAGAATCAATTCTAAGTGGTAAGTTAGGCAGGGATACTCCAGATGAATCAAGAGTAGATTTCAAGGAGAATTCAGAGGCAAAGCATTCAGCTTTATCAACAGAAAATGGTAACACCTCAAATTGATTGAAAAGGGGGAAATAGACTTTGCATTTATTTAGTACTCTATTACAGAAATGCCAGTAGTCACAAGAGCCGAAAATTTAGTTGCTATGTGGTGCCTCATTTTCTCAGCAAACAGGGACTTAGCTTTTTCAAGGACTCGCTTGCCTTTGTTATAAGCAGTAGAAAATAGGCCCCTGTTATGATGAGCTGTAATGCTGGTATAGCCAGAAATAGTGGTTCCTGTATGCTAAGGCATCCGAACATGCTGGTGTGGACCATGGTGAGGATTGTGGCTTCACCTGGTATTTCCAAGAAGGGATGAAAGCATCCATGCCAGCTTTGACCCAAGAAGGAATATCAGTGGCACAATTTTCAATTGGAAGGTTGAAGATGTCAGTCCAAAATCAGCCTGCTGGTACCAGAAAGAGGTCTTATGGATAGGACATTCCTGTTTAATGGATTCTTGGAAGGAGATATCAATGTTTATCATAGAGTGGTCAAAGTTATCAAGAGGGAAGAATTGTGAAGTTTGGCAATAGTGGATACCTATATTTGAGTAGACACTTTTTTAAAAATATTTTTTTAAACCGTATATTTATTGTCTTCCAGCCTGAATATTAAAGAAAGGATTTGAATCTGCGTCTTGGTAGGAAGGCATATATTTTTCTTTAAAAAGATTTCTCAAATATTCAGACCGGTAGACAGTGATGAATATACTGTTTAAAAATTATTTTTACAAAAACTGATCTACTCAAATATGGGTATTCAATAAAAATAACATTTAAGTGATAAAACTGATTAATAAATAAAGAAAGTCCATTCATTTAACCCCATGCAAGGTGATAAAGCCACTAAGACACAAGGGGGTTACTGAGTCTAAGAGAGTTTAAGAAAAATCCATTAAGGATAGAGGATAATAAAAGCACAGGAAATAAGGGGACAGAAGATGACAGTATTGCATTTAAATTTTTGAAGGTCAAGGTTGATGGGGGAAAAACAAGACATCAGAAACAAGTTCCACACATGGGAAGTGCAAAAGAAGAAACTGTTAACATAGAACTTACGGTTACATCGAGCAATTTCAACTGTAAAATAATGAGACCTAACTGCCAATCTATTAATTATATAATTCAAGTATATATAAAGTCAAGGTACCAAAAAGGAAAGCTCATCAGAATAATTACCATAAAAGTATTTATAGAAAAGTACAGGATGTCACAGTGGTGAGAATTTGACTGAAGCCAAAATGCCAGGTCAAAACCAATAACATTGCAAATTCTTCTTTGAATTTTGTCAAGAATCTCTAAATACATAGTAAATGTGACAGTAATATTCAATGCATGGATGAATGGTAAGCTTATAAAGTTGCAGTTGTCTGACAGGGGGGGTTTGGTCCTATACTTGGCAGCAGAACAGTATTGACTGTCTGGCCTTCACCTTGGCCAAAAGTATATCACTAAATTTAGCATGTCCCTATTTATGAAACCGGCTTTTGATAACCTTGTACTAGTATTTCTGTAGTCATGTCCACCATAGCCTAGTAGAATTAGTTTCCTGTTACTTGGAGAGGAGATGCTTCAATTCAGCAGGAAGACACAGTGGAGTAATGGATAGCAGCTCGGATTAAGGAATCAGAGTTCAGAGTTCAAATTCCAGTCGAATCCATTACATTCACTTACGTGCTAATACCCTTGGGAAAGATATGAATCCTCTTTTTCTTCCCCCAGCTATGGATAAATAGCCTTGGATGGCAACTAATCTACTGCAGAAAGAAATGGCAACCTACTGCCTTGTCAGTCATGTATTGTAAGATACGTGATCGCCTAAGTGTGTATCACGCATGGCACATAACTGACTGATCATTGTAATAACTTGGAAGGAGCCGAGTTAATCTGTCTTTAACAGACAAGGGAGATAATAAGCATTTCTCTTTTAAAGGATGAGATTTTTTTTGATTTTTTTTTTTTTTTGTTACTATAATAATGCTTGGGTTGTTTTTTACACCCTCCAACCATTGGGCAAGCAACAGGAACCAGAACATAAAAAAATAAGCTTATGACAAGGTTTGAACTTGTATCCTTATAAAATCTAAAAAACTAATCAGCTCAGTTAAATTCAAATAACTTAAAACTATTATGATGACTACAACAAAATGAAAAACAATTTAGTGTGGAATATAAATGGAATAATGTAGTCAGGTGAGTATATTTGTCTACTTAATGTTCATAAAATGTATAAATCTTGGAGAATTATGATAAAAAAATAATCAAAATAAGATGAAACAAAGATGAGTGAAAATGATATTTGGATAACTTGAGGTTAACTCTTATTTTTTAAATTAATTAGTGTGAATTCTCATGAATATGATATTATTGTTAATATAAGCCCAAGAAAATCTCTTGTGATTTAAAAGCTCATTTTTAAAAATGCATTCAATCATAAAATGAACTGATTTTGTAAAATAAAAACATGCATTTTTTTTATTAACATCAATTAATTTTACTTGGGCCTAGTCAGGTTTAGCAATTTTTCAACTTTGAGCCTTATTTCATGCTTAAAATATCTTGATGGTAATATTAGCCATTTCCTTATAAGGAAACATTTGGCATTCATTGACTGAGCAGTCAGTACTAGTGTCGGTAGAAATTTATAAAATCTTTCTACTAAAACAATTTTTCAGGAAAATAGGTTTTTCAAGTCTAGTCGCTGATATCACTCTTTCCAGTATTGATGGGAGTTTCCTTCCTAACCTTTTGTTTTGAAGTAGTGTGGAATATCAACATCTTTATTGTCATTTTTTTTATATTTGAATTACATGTGCTATTTATTTTAGCTGTTACTGTTTTTGAAAATCCTCAATGGTGTGACTTCTGTTATCTGGTAGAGTTCTTTGTTTGTCATTTTGTAATTTAAGTCTACAAGATTCTAAGAAGGATGATCTTCACCAAGACACACAGGCTTCACTTGCTCAAAAGCCATTTTTAATCATTTATCTGAGAAAGTGGTTGCATACAACAGACAGTTTAGATACTTCTTAATGGCTTTGGCACCATGCATAACATCCATATGAAAGTCTCGATCTGATGAGGCTATTAAAGAACCTGACTTGAGTTTTCAGGTTAATGTAGCCATTTTCAGTTTGGATGAAACTACATCTAGTTCGGCCTTTTTTTTTTCTTTTTTTCAACATCTTTATCCCCCTATACTAAATTTGTTATAACTGATCCATGTACATGTATTTAGAAACTTTGGTTATTAATGCTCAAGAAAGTTGTTAAAAATCCAAGCATCATGTGATGCTTAAAATATACTAATTGGTGCCTTGGTCATATGTATAAGCTTCATGCTAATAAAAAGACAATGTAAGATGAGAAATTAAGTAAGGCAATAGTATTACAAGATTGAAGTGAGTATACTTTTCGTTTTTTTTTTAAATACATAATGATTGAGGTAAGCAAAGAATCAGCACTTAATTCTATTCAATGTGTATAAATTTGATTTTACCACTCAAAACCAAACAACTCATCATCAAATAAAGACTGCAGGTTATGAGTTAACATTTACGTGAACACTTAAAAAAACGTCCTCTTACAAAAATAGTTTTGGAAGTTTTCAAGGAACCAATTTACCAGTAAAATGTACACGAGTTAAAATAATAAAACTGTTAGAAAAATAATTTTCCTACATTTACTTTATTAAAATTGTCTTCAGTCATTTTCCCACTGTCAAACTAGCTTCACTGTAGCTTTTTTCTGTAAATGCATTTACAGTAATTGTTCTGATGAACTTCCCTCCATTTTAACCGAAACTTTGAATTTAAGTACAGTACCAGATTAGTGGCAAGGTCTCATCATTTTACAGTTTAAATGGTGTGAGATATCACTGTAAGTTCTATGCTAACACCTTCTCTCGTACTTCTCACTTGTGGAACTATCTTCTGGGCTTGTTTTCCAGTCAACTTTTTCAAAAATTTAAATGCAATGTCAATCGTTATCTTCTGTCTTAAATCCTGTCCTTTTATTGTTCTCTCTCCTTAATGTTATTTTTTCCTCTCCCATATTCTCTCTCACTTACTAGCCCCTTGCATCTTAGTGTCTGTGCTGCCTTGCTTGGGGTGACATGATTAAAAAAAAAAATGTTTATAAAGTCAGATGTATTTAAAATTTGTAAATCTAGATCTGAATGATAATTTCATAAAAGGTGATTTATACAAAAACTGGATTCCAGATAGACACAACAACATATATTCTCTAGCTAATACTTCTTTGAAATTCATTTTGTGCATGAATTTAAAGTTATTATTTTACTGGAAATATATTGATGCTTGCTGTAAATCATACAGGTGTTTTAACACTATGATTTTATCTTTTCATTCTGACTTACAGATAATGAATTGCAATTTCCTTCTAAAGCTATTGTTTAAAATGAAAATCACAATTTTATAATTATTTTTTTTCCTTTTCAGAAAGCACGACCACTGCAATTGATGAGAGATTATCGCAGATGCTGGGTAACACTCATGTCACAACCAATTGTACCGAGAAAAAAAGCAAACAGTTAAGTGAAGAGGAGAGAGCTCGCAAGGAAGCCATTTTGGCGCAATATTCAAACATTTGTGATGAAACAGATCTGTATCCTTTTAAATAACAAATTCTTATCTCCACATTAATCCATTCAAACTCCTGTTCTCGTTTTGTTGGTTATAGCCACAAAATATCAGCCATTGTACCCTCCTGTATCCTTAAGGTCCCTGTCATATTCAATAATCTTTTGAGAATTTCAAACCAAACCCATTACTTAATCCAGTGGTTCTCAAATGGTACGGTGCACCTCATAAGTGCAGTAGAAGAGGATAGCAGGGGGAGATGGAATGATTGAAAGATATTCAAAGATTTAGAAACAGTTTCAAATAATTCATATGCCAAAAATAAATATGATTTCAAAATTTTAAATATTATTATGGATTACATGTAATTGCATGCATGATTCTCAGTATAAATAGTTATGAATAATTATTGACTGATCATTGTGATATTTTTGCATTATATCAAGTATTAAGAATATAGTAACTAGTGTCTTCAAATTGGAGGAGAGAGTTATCAATGATAATTTTCTGACTTCAAATACGCGGTTATCTCCCTTGAACCCTCTCTGTTTTTTATTTTTAAATGTAATTTTCATCCCATAAAATTTGGTGAGGCCCAAGCAAATTTTCATTCCAAGAAAAAAAAAAATTGGGAACTGCTGACTTAATCTATGGGAGTGGATTCTTCTTCTTCTCATATTCAAGCTAGGAGATAATCTTTTTGTTTTTTTTATTGAACTAGAAGAATATAAGTTTTCACCATCCTACCCAGAGATTGAATTCACAATCACCAGATAATGACACCTTATTAATCCATTTAACAATTGGGTAGTGGAATTTAGAGCTGTTAAATCTATGGTCTCTTCTTTACAAATAAACACAACTCTAGCAACCAAATTGAAGGCACTATTCTGAATAGATTAATATATAAAAAGACCAAGAGATAGTTTTATTAATGAAAATGTGCTTTCTTGTTGGGAGGCATATTTTCTTTAATAAGAATGTACCCACTCACTTTATAGTAAATAGATTATAGTAATTAGGCTAGTATATAATAGTAACTTCTCATCCAAAAAAGTGACGCACTTAGTTTAAGATCTGTGTTTTTCCCCAGTATTCAAAAATAGTATGTTCGTCAGAAATCTTTTGGAAATTGAAATGGGATAAAACAAAAAAGTGATTACCATCAATTTATATGGCACAAAAATTTTGAGTCTTCCCAGACCCACAAAAGTAAACTTGCCTCAGATTTTCACTCAAGTTGGAAGAGCATGTAGGCTTAGTGCAATTTAATAGGATGTTTTGTGCCTCTATGAAGAACTGCATGATAAAAAACAATGTAATAGGTTTAGTACTGCTGTATACTATTGTATTTAAAACTATCTGCAGAAGACAAGGAATCTTAGCTTTCAATACTGAGGCATAAACTTAGAAGAAATTTATTTTGGGGACCAAGAAATGCACAAAAAATTTCCCCATGTAAATTAATCGTAATTGCTTTATGCCATTTTAGATAGCTGATGGGATCAGGGGACTTTAGTAATATAGCTCTTTTGTAAAAGCAAAGTCATCTAAAGTGAACATTTGAAGGGGGGGGCACCTGCATGTAATTCAAGAATTTATGATTTTTTACAGAATTTTTCATGTAATATATATACATCATGCACCTATTTAGTTTTAGCTGTTTTTTTGTTTTTTTTTAATGAAATTTATATTTTAGTAAAAAAAAAAAAAATGTGATTAAATAACACCTATTTAAAACCCTTGTTTTTAGCTGTTTTTTTGTTTTTTTTTAATGAAATTTATATTTTAGTAAAAAAAAAATTGTGATTAAATAACTGACAATTAAATATTTATTTATTAATCTGTTCAAGATGATTTTTTTGCACATGGAATTATTCACTGGTAATTAATAGAAGTATTAAGAAATTATGCATTTTCTGTATACACTTTTTCGTGGAAAAATAACATCTTATTTTACCCATTTTGATTTGTTTTCACCGTAAAAAACAAAACAAAACTTATCAAGCCATTGTTCAAACATAGTTATATGAAGTGTTTTTTTATTCATTTGCTTTTAAAGAACAGCTAAATGACTAATATCAGTTATTTGCCCCTTACTGTATTTTGTTGAAATTTTTTTTTTTTTTTAACTGCTGTTTGATTTAAATTTGACTTTTTTGCCTGAAATAGTTTGATTATGATCTAGGCTTGATTTTCAAAAAAAAAAAAAAAAATTTTTTTTTTTTTACTATTTTTTTATTTTACCCACTGAAAAATTTTTTTGAGTTATTTGTTTTTACAGACGATTTATCTTTTGCTTTCAGTCTTTCCTTAACACAATGTTAGTGATGATAAAACAGAAGCAATTGAAAAAAAACAAAACCCATTTTGGATGCTGGAGGAAATGACAGCTCCTTCATCTATTTTCAAGAAAATTTTTACCATAGGAACATTGATAGCAGCAGCAGCAGCTACCATTCCTGCAGCATCATCCATTAATTGTATCCTTTGTGTTGGCAATTTTTGTTGAAATTTTTTTTTTTTTGTAACTTTTTTTTTTGTTTTACTTTAAGCTGTCTTTCCTTTTTATAAATTAAAATCTTTGGGGGACAAATATCATAAAGTGGTATGAAAAATAATGTTAGCTTTTAACTTGTATATTTAGTTCAAACTCCTATAGTTAAATTATTTGTATTCGTGGCTATTTTGAACTTTCTATTTTTCATACTGTTATAACCTAGGAAGGGTTACTGAATGAGGAATAACCAAAATGGAGGTTGGAAATGAAATGGTAATCTTCATAACATCAAAAAAATACAATACTTGCCAGTAGCGTGATGTAGGTAAACCACTGACAGTGGTGGACTACTTAGACAGCATATTACCCCCACTTACAATAGTGTCCAAAGTATTTGAGGATTGAGACATACCCATTATTGTTCATATGTATGGTATATAACACATACATAATAACAGAAAATTTTATTTAAGTGTATTTCATTACAACTGGTTTGGCAATAGCTGAACATTTGCTAAAAAGGCAACAATATGTCTAGTCTTTTCTTAATGCTAATTTTGGATTTCATTTGAAGCTGTTGGAATCTGTTCACATTAAATTTTACCAACCATCTCTCTGTAAGCAGAAAGTGTGGTTGGTACACTTAAAGTTAATTAACCTGAAAGTGTTATATCTGTTTATATGACATTTGTTGTTTATTTTAATCATTATACATGTTTTTTTTTTTTTTTTTTTTATCCTCTGATGAGAGATGACCAATAAACCTGTTTAGCTGGTGTTTGTTTTATTTTTTTTTTTTTTTTTTTTTTTTTTCAATAATACCGCTTTATGGTAATGTTATTTTTTGTTATAAATTTTTGTTCTATCAGTTATATCAGTTTTTAGTACTTTAATAGAATTTAATTCTGTTTTAATATTTTAATTTTTCATTCTTTTATTTAAAAAAAAAAAATAGTTGAAAAATTTGAATTTTTTCTTTATTTTGGAAAAGTAATAAAATATATTCTATAATTTTGCGAGGTGATTATTCATAGATTTGTTTTAATTATTGATCTTATTCTTTGTATCACTTTTTGTTATCACAATGTTTCAGCTGATCAATTCCATCTGGAGTGGGTTGGGAATTAGAGAGCCAAGTTCCAATTCCAGTCAGTAAGTGCAAATACATTCTCCTTCATCCCCACCCCAGTTAGAAGTTAATTAGTAGCACTTGTATAAATAAATAATTATCCCCCAAACATTTTCTGGCTTTAAATAACCTGCATAAGGCTGATAAGCTTTAAAAAACAAATTGATCAAATTACTATCTGGAATGGAGAAGAAACTTTTTTTCCATTTACCACATACCCCAGAGAAAAGCTTTAGAATTGATTGCCCAAAGAAAGAAATGTAAAAAAAAAAAAAAAAAAAAATGAGAACAATAGTCTAAACAACTCTTGGATTGATAATGACTCATCTCAAAATTACAAAAACATTCTTAAACAAAAAGAATGAGATCAGCAGTCTAGACATCATTTGGAATGATAAGAACTCCTCTCAAAATTAAAGATAATAAGTTTTATATGGTTTGTAAACCTGAAGAAGGCTCTAGAATAGATCAGCCGAAATGTTGTGGTAACAACAAATATAACAGTCACTCGACTCAAAATTCTTGGAAGAATTAAAAAAAATAAAAACTTGTTTATCTATATTTATTAAATACAAATGCAGGTTGGTCTTTATTTTCTACTCTGCATTAGACATTACAGAAAACATTGTGACCATTATTACAATACTTCCTTAATTACTCAATTATCCAAACACAAACATCAATGTTAATATTTCCTGACTGTGAGGACAACTTTTTCCTCTACTATCCAGCATGAGTTTTGTATTGTTATACTTCATGATATTACTCTTTGAAATTGAAATTC